TGCTGACTCGCGCTGCTCAATTATCGATGAAATCCGTGGACGATTCCTCGACTTTCAAACGTTTGATAAAAGACTCATATGAGTCTTTGGATCACTTTTCGGATGACTTAGCATAGGTGGCATTAAATGATTTGCACATTTGATAATTTTTAGAGGGGATTGTTATTATTTACTTTCGGTTAATGCGTAAGTGCTGAAATCCCTATAAGTTTACCACTGAAATATGGCTACCAATCTTTTATTTACCCCTACAGTAACAGACCTTGTTCTAAAGGGTATGCAATGATGACGGACTTGCAACTTGGGTGCATCATGGGATTCATATACATTTATACACATAATATTATGATATTATACATGTTAGACATCTATATATATTTTCAATTTCATATTACAATATTATTGTTATTTACATTGATATATGGAATGTTTATTTACCAAAAAATATTATACACATTTCTTTCCATAAATAGGTTGCAGGTTACTTCAAAAATATTCGGATGAAAAAGTTTACCTATGAATTAACTTAACTTAATTAATTCTTTGCCGCGACTTTCCGTACTTTATTTTACTGCTTGTTACATTTTTCACATCATACAATTCCATTTTTTGAACACCATTTGCAGTATTCTTATTCAGCAACAGTTCTAATGCATTGCTCTTGTACATTGTTACTTGCATAAACATGGAAACTGATTTCAGTAGCTAATGAGCAGTAAATAAGCGTTTCCATTTACTTTTCTACTATGATATTCATAATTTGATAGAATTTGGTTTTTCCTACAGGTAAGGCACTTAAAAATAATGTGTCACATAAAACGTTTCATTTATAGACATCTATTTTTGGCAATTAAAAACTAGTTACAACTTTTTAGGCGTTTCACGTTTCTTTCTTTTATTTATTTATTAAATTTTGTCTGTAAACATCTGAATTTCCTATCATATCTATTATGTGAACGCTTCATTATGCTTCCTCATCATGTTTCCATAAACCACTCAAGGAGACTATTTCCGCATTTTTGAATTGCGCGCCAAGCAAACATCATGAGTGTCGTCATAGTACACCTGTAGCCATGGTTAAAAGCGGGCTCTCAGGGTCAGCGTTGGAGATCAATTCCGGCCTACCGACACTACAGGACGCTTATTCAACGAGCCGCACATCTCAAGGTCAAATTTCCAAAATCAACTTCTGTCTTTCTTTGACTATGTTTTCAGTTCTTCCAGTATTGGAGATAATGCGTGAATAGTTTGTAGCTTAATAATTTAGCAATTTATTTAAGTTAGAATATTTTCAATAATTTGCTTATTTACTGTGTACTGAATGAAAATAGAATAGAAATTTAGAATACGTGTGCTCAACCTAATAGAAACTCTCATAGGACAAGAATCATCTATGAAAAAGAATGAACTACTTGGCCTGAAAGAATTTCCAAATCAGGGCTGTAACTTTCGAACTACTGCAAATTTTATAGCGACACTCAAGTTCGCGCACATTCAAGTGGTCACAGAAATGAACCACGAACATAGATGTTGGAGACAAAGTCAGGAATAAATACACTGTACTATTAGCCATCGATATATATATAAAACTATGATATTGCAAGCTGAAATGGATTTTCAAAATGAGGGTGATGTTGCACGAGTTTGGTCAACACCTGTACGTTGATCGGGGCATGTGTTACGCATGTCACCAGATAGGTTGCCACGGCGAGCGATATTCGCCGAGGCACGTAGTGGGTGGAATAAAACCACAGATAATTGANCCCCCCCCCCCCCGGAAAAAAAACGAACCCGAGTACTGGTTTTGAGAAGCCGAGTAGAAAAAAGATCACATACGATTTCCTTGTAAATAAAAATCCTCTTTAATCGGTGGGAACAGATCGGGAATGTCAAGATGGACGGTGAGAAACACAATTGGGGAGCACTGGAATGTAAGTGCCCTTTCGTTCAGCGTGTCCTAGATGAAAAAAACGGCAAGGCACATGAGTTCGGACAAGAAAGCACTGGCCGCAAGCCAAGTAACCCATTGTTGAGTCTATCACATGTTAGTTAGCCGACTCAGGAAGGAACGAAGGCATACTGAAACTGTGTGTTGGATGAGACGTAGTCTGCGATATCCAGCGCTAGGACACAGCTTTCGCGAACCAACGGTTCTGGATCCTTTAATCCCACTTGTAGAACCTCACGTGCAGACTTGATGCATGGTTTCTCCAGATCACCATCCTCGGTTGTTGTTTGGCCAAGTACTGCACCGAGAGCCTCGACAGCCTCGTGACGGACCATCGAGTGTTCATGAGTCTCTTGAACACATTCAACCAGTTTTGGAACAGTCTCAATCAGAGCCAACTGGCCGAGGACAAATGCGACCTCGTGACGTAGGAGTTTACTACCAGGCGCACGTAACCCTAGGGCTATAAGATGAGCCAGTCGTTCCAATTCTTCAGCATTCTGTGCCAATTTTGCATGCAAAATACGGTCTCGTAGACAGAACAAAGCTCGATATCGGATGAACAGGTCCTGTTCCGAGTCCATCATGATATCGCTTAATTTTTGTCCATCGGGATCCGTGGTTTCGGACGAGTCCAACGGGGGCGCGGGATCGATTGTGAACGGAAAGAACTGCAAGCCGATTTCCGACTCATGAGCCTTCGATCCCTCATTACGTAACCAACTGATACGTCCCAAACCGACTTTACACGTTTCGGCTAGCTACAAAATGGTTGAGATAGAGAGAGAAAGAGGGGAAAAAGAGGATACAGACGTGACACAGCAGCTGAATATGAAGAGAGAACGATGCATGGCGACGTGAAACAGTAATCGTCAGAGTCTAACGGAATCAAACAGAATGGAGGACCGTTAATTTTCAGTTATAGTATCATTCTCGTTGCAATCAACTTGTTCTCCACAATGAGTGTGGAACAGCCACGTGAATGAATGGCACTGGTAATGATCGGGGTTAAATATAGAAGTGTTCTGAATTAGAAATGCCAAAAATGATACTAACGATGAGATGAGGAAAGTGTTTTTGCAATGATCGGCAACACAGAGGTATTCCCACTGGAAACTGAACCTAGGGCGGGCTGGGGGCAGTACTCAGTTCACTAACAGCTTCCGCCTCCTAGCTCACTGGAGCAACCGGAGTGCGAATGTCGAATACGAGAGCAAAACAGTTTGAATGGTCATTCATAGAGAAGAGCGTGGGCAAGTGGATATGAACGAAACTCACTGTCGTGGGAACAGGTAAAGTTCCACATACCAACGTACAGTTGGGAGACGGCTAAAGATCACGTGCGGGGCGTGCGTGGATCGTTTCAAGGACGGGAGATTCGACCGCGAATTAAGCCGAGGATTAGATAAGGTGATTTGTTCCCATCTCTTACTAACTCTTTTGTGTACCACACAAGGGGGGTGGGTGAAAATGGACAGAGAGAGAGCGCGCACACACACACACACAATGATCACGTGCTACCAGGTGTGGCCTTTACACATGGGTCATACGGGTTGCTTATCACGCGCAGCTGAATGTCGAATCTGACCGCCCGGTCGCGTGTGAGACAAGGCCCCGGTGGATCACCAATATCATCGTTATCAAGAACAACAACAAAAACGAAAACAAAAATAACGACGACAAAATAGCACAAAAAACAGGTATTTTACATTACCCACATACAATGACTAAATTCCCCCACGCTCAAATCCGTGAGGATCACGCGGAACACAAATAGTCGAGGGAGTTGGAATAGATAATCTCAGCAGCGTGACCACAAATTGTAGAGGGACAATGCGTTGGAAATCCCATTCTGATCGTAGTGGACATTGTATTCCCACTGAATTTTTTACAATGCCACTTCCCATGGGCAAAACCTCCGTCAAATACATTAATGCCTAACAGTACAAAAACCGGAATCGCCAACGCGCAATAATTGTCACAGTATTCTCGCCGAAAAAGTACACTGCCCGAATGAATCTAAGTGCAGTAATCAAATGCTTTGTCAATTATTGATCATATCATTCCGTTAGATTATCTTATCTCACCCGAATCGAGATGCAAATCATTTATCGGTAAACAGTGGTCTGATGCTCAATACGACCGACATGTGGGTTTCTGGTGGGAAGCACAATTGCGCACGCCACGTGAAGGGTGTCATGAGGGTTGGTATGAACAGTGACCCACTCAGTACATCATTGTCATGGAATACTCATTATGATCGCCTCCAAAAGGGTGTCTAGGGTTGCGACTGGTCACCCTGTCCCTGATCCCATACCACCAAGCGTCTCGAATAGCCTCTGCTGAGGAAGCTCTACTGCCTCCTCGTGGCGGTGTTTCCCCACCAAAGTGAGGGGACGAAAAGTCGACATCCGGGGCTATAATCGGGTTGGTGAACCACTGGTAGTTCACCTAGGGGAGTTGACCAAAATCCTTGATTCCAAATCAACCAAAGGAGACGTACGGACCACACACACCACACAAGTTGTGGCAGTGGTCACCTTGGACGTTTGACCCCGTCTAAAAGGCGTATGATCCGTATGATGGATTTTAACACACCCCCCC